ATAATAAAATTAATATTATTTTTATTTTTTAATATAAAAATATATATTAATTACATCAACACAGTAAAATATGTCTAATAAAATTTTAGAAAGGGCAAGTTGTTTTACACAATCTTTTTAATTTTATATGTTAATTAGCACTGACATCCTTTTTCTTTGGATGGCACCGACATCTTTAATAATTGCAGTGGGCTGCTCTGGTAGAATTTTTCCATCGGAGGGTTCCATAAATCTTGGTCGTCGTCCACGCTTGGATATCTTTAACAAAAGCAGTGGGCTGCTCTTGTAGAATTTCTCTATCAGAAGGCGCGCCCCATCCTTTCTTCTGCGTCATTGCATGGCAAATGCGTGACTAAGATTTAGCATTAAAAGTAACACAATTATAAATTACCAAAAATTTTCTTGTAAGTTAAATGAGTTGTTTAACATTTATATATAATATCTTATTATTAAGTTAATTTATAAATTACAAATAAAAAATACTTCAAAAATAATAAATGAATAAGAATACCACAATGATAAAACATGAACACAAATTAAAATTACCTAAATCCTAAAATTCAAAAAATAAAAAAAATCCTAAACTGAAAAAGAAATGCTTCATAAATTGATTGAAAACAAATCATTGAGGCTAAAGCCTTTCTAGAATTAGAGTAATTTACCCAAAAAAAATTGTGAATTGAAATAAAACACATCAAGTATACGAAATCTAGATTTGCATTGTAGGGGACTAATATAATAGTAATAAACATAAAACTTAAATTTGAGGCTAAAACATTGGTTAACAACAAAGTTAACAAATAACCAAGAAATATTTATAAAATAAGACAAAAAGATAATTAATATAAACTCATGACAACTTGAAATTAATAATGATTTTTTCTCACCATTGGTAAAAATTAATTAAAAAACTAAGGTTTCTCTCCCAAATAAATTAGAAATCAAACAATATAATCAAATAATAATTAAAATTGAAAAAAAATAAAAGTAAAATAATCAATAATTTAAAATCTAAAGCTAAAAACAATTAATAATTATAATAATCAATAAGTATAAAAAAGAACGTTTCAAAATAAATTAAAAGTTCATTGTTATAAAAGGTGTTAAAATAATAGAATTATATTTTGAATTAGTAAAAGAAAAGAATCTGAGTTTATGCAATAAATTGTGATATAAGTGGTAATTAGCTTTAAATTTACCCTTTTTACCAAATATTTATCGTATATACTTTCATTTTTTATTTTATATATAATTAAACTTTAAAAAAAATTTCAATACTTTAGGGGGGACCCAGGGCTTCCTAACTCCGTTGCACAGGAACTCCGCCACGGCTTAAGCCTTAAAGAGTAAACTTTAAAATTATATGTATTATTTGTATTGAAAATAAAGTTAAAATTATATTTTTTTCCATAACTTAATAAAAAATATAATATATTCATGTACCCACGAACCACGATATGTACTTTTTTTTTATTTTTTATTTTGAACAATTTATAATTATTTATAAAATTAATTAAAAAAAAAAAACTTCATGGAGTTTAAATGTGTAATCTACAAAAATAAACAATTTTAATCAAAAATTTAATATCACTCCATCGAAGCGGCCGTTCCACTATATGTACTTTTAAAAACAGTTTTAACAAACACTTTAATAATTAGTAATGAATACACCTACCGCTCACAACAAATTTGTCAGAGTTAGGGACA